AGCCTCCATTTCCATATATAAAAATGAAGAGCATTACTTTACTCCATAGTGTTGAACTAGTGACAAGGATTAGCTAGATCTGTATATTAGATGCATATACAGGCCCATAGCACAGTGTGTGGCATATATTAACTCTTAAATAGATGATAGCTTCTACCAATACAATCAGCCACAAAACTGGCTAAGGAGGCAGTTGGGCTAATATCCCTGATTGTGATCAGTTTTACTTGGGTTTGTATTTAAATTTACTCCTCTTTGTGACATCATTCGTGGAGCTTTTACTTTGAATTCTAGAATTGATTCAAGTTTCAAATTGGTGTTATCCAAACTCAGTAAAAGTGATTGAATAACAAATATACAGATATGAGAATATTGCTATGAGAGGAATTGGGGAGAAAATTTGTTCGTGGTACTTCAAATAGTGCAATACAAATTATAGACATTAAAAAAAAAAAAGAAGTGAAGAAAACCAAAGGTCATCAAATTTGCTTGCCTATCCTCCACCCTCTGGGATTTTGTACAATCTTATTTTCTAATGTTCCAATTAATAAAGCTGTTTCTGCTTGTTTTTAAAAGTATCTTAAAATCAATAAATCTGATCTTCTCCAATACTCAGACCATATTTTATATTTTTCCCTCATTTCATTCTCTTATTTCTAGTTATGACCCATAACATACCTGAGCTTTATAACTGTGATTACAGCCTTGTATATATTGGATGGCCACTCTCATGACTTCTTAAATATTGTCTCTTTTACTTATTCTTCTACTTTGATCAAGGTGCCAGTACCTATTTACATTGTATTATAACATAATTTTAACCCCTGCCTTTAATTAAAGTGAGACTTTATAATTTCTAGTAATCATTAGATTACTTCAAGAAACAGTTTAACCTTTATCCCTTTTGTTGAATTTGACACCTCCTAATTTTACCTATTTTCTATAATTTTCAATATTATTTAAACCTTTTTTACATTGCTTATAGATGTGTATAAAATAAGGACTCATAGGACATAAATATACATACTCATTGTATACAATGTCAAAGCCCTTTGAAGTATAAATTATTTCTTGTAAGTCTAGTTTCTGCCTAAGGTCACATAGCAAGCTGTTTGCCCAGAGTAGTTGCTCAAGAAGTGTTTTACAAATTGAATTCTCTTCTCACATGGAAATATGATAACTTTTATGAGAATTGAAAATAAACTAGAAAGAAGAAAGTAATAATGATAAAGACTTATATGGCAATTCTTGAAGCTGAAAATTATGAGACAACTAACATGTGAAATCCGATTATACTCAACTTTTAGGTTTTGATGTGAAAATCTGCCACAAGATTACAAGCAATAAAATTATGTAAGTTTCCACAGAGTAACTGGAGGCTATATATAATTACATCTTAAGGAAATATTTCTATAAACCATGCTACCAAAATTATCTTTTATGAATATTTATTTCTCCTCTCAATTACTCTTTTTTTCTCCTTCTATTTCATTTCTTGGAATTATTTGTCACATCCTCTCTTTCAAGTGCCCTAACATTGAACTTCTCTGTCAATTTCATATTTCCTTAGCAAATTTCCCATTTCAACTTCTAGGTGAATATTGTGAACTTTTAAGTAAGCCTACTTAATAAGTTACTTTGCATGAGTATTGTCCCTTTTTATGCTCTGATAAGATCTTATTCTTTTTGTTCATATAATACATTATGAAGGAGGCAAATATACAATTATTTGTTTGTTGAATGTCTGATCTTCAGCTAAATTGAAGGCTCTATGAGTGGAGTAGATATATCTGTTTTATTCACTAATATCTCTCTACTCACTGTGATATATCTAGCATTTAGTACTTATATAATAAATTGTTTATTGAACAAATGAATTGATGAATACAATTTTATTCTGATCATACATTTACTAGTTCAAGTATGTGATAACTTTCTCCACGTACATCTTCATTTTTTAGTAAACTATTTCAATATCCTTGGGTGGTTATGAACTACCTAAGAATATGATGATAAAATTACCTTTGATTCATTTTGTATAAAGAATCACTAGTTACATTTCCCATACTGCCCTTAGCAGAGGTATTGGCTGGACAGAATCTGCTTGATTGCCTGCTGAGTCATTTCTCACCATTGGAATTCCAAATTCCATTCTTCTAATGGAGAAGGGCACAGTAGGGAAATTAAAGCCACTAGAGTGAGCTAAATTGTATCTCAAGATGGGAAAATGTGGGCTTGGGATTAAGAGGAAGTAAATACCAAGCTCTTTTATAACAACAACAAAAAAAAATAGTCAATTAACTCCTATATAATCACTGTGGTTAAACATCATTCCAGTTGTTGGTATCTACTGGGTGAAAAAAAATAGCTGATGTAATTAATTTCTTACATTTTAATTTCACTAGGATATCTTTTATTATAACTAAAAATTCAAGAAGTAAACACATATCATGTTTGTTACATGACTTATCACAAGTCTGGGTTGGTTTTTTTGATAATATCTGTCTTGTATTGGGCTGGGGTTGTAGCTCAGTGGTTGAACGCTTGCCTTGAAGCACTGGGTTCAATCCTCAGCACCACATAAAAAAATAAAATAAAATGAAGATATTGTGTCTATCTACAACTAAAAAAAAAATTTTTTTTAAAAATCTGTCTTGTATTTAATAAATTCAACCCTAAAAAGAACTATGATGTTCTTCCTGCATATTTTCCAATACCATGCCTGAGTCACTTTTGGCTAATCCACATTATGGATTTTTAGAAATTCCTTTATCATTTTTTTTATCAGTTTACCAATAATTCAGAGTAAACAGAGCAACTGTTGCTCTAAAAATGTAACCAATCTAAAATATAAGAGCTTATCTTCTCATTTCTAGTCCTTGCTCAAATGCATTAGATGGTAACAAATCTGGCTAGTGTTCCAGAGATATGTGCTAATACTTGCCCGATAATACATTTTCTAGTTTGTAAAATCTGCATAACTTGAACTCATCTTCCTTAAGACTCTTTTGTTATAATTTCATTCGGAGTATGAAGATTTTTTCAAGAAATAAGAGTTAGTAAATTTTATTATATAATGATGCTTAAATTTTAAAATTATAACCTCCCTAACCCATCAATAATATTTTAACTATTCATTTTTATCTGATTCTTTAAATGCATTTAAACTCACTTTTTGTATAGTAAAAACTATATAGTCATACTAAACATAAGCCATGCAGTAGTTAGCAGTAGCTAACATAGTACAGGCTTACAATGCACAGGATGCCATACTGTTCTTAATTTTTATATATTAAAATTTACTCTTCATTGCAACAACCCAATGAAATTGCTGTCATCAACAGCCATTCTTTGCAGGTTAGGAAATAGGGGCACAAAGGCTGTAAATAAATTCCCTAGCATCTCAGGTCAGAGATTCAGGACCAGAATTCAAGCTTTACATCTTTCACTATCTACCCTGACTCTCTTTGTACATGTAGTCTTATCAAAAAAAAAAAAATCACAACAACAAAAACCACATTAGTCCTCAGGGAGTTTGAAATTATGAGAGAAAGCCCAGCCCTCTCAGCACTAAGCATATTCCCACACACAGGAAGCACAATCACACTCTCTGCCAAAACACTTTAAAACAAAGTGGAAAGCACATTGAAGTTCACCTTCTGATAGGGGACAGTCCATTCAGAGGACTACAACTTACATATAGAGATCGTCAACTATGTGCCAAGCTCTTTTTCTAAACAGCCTCATGCAATCCTCATCACTTTATTGAAGAGGAAACTGAGGCCTAAGGAAATTCAATACCTCTTTGAAGATCATACAGAGATGATGAAAATGTTGGAATTCAAACCAAGTTCTGTGTCCAAAGTTCATAACACCACCAGACCACAATACAAAGGCAGTAACTCAAGCTCCTGGTTTGAAAAGACTTGTCTCAGAGACTGGGAAAATGCTAGTATATTTTAGAAACTCACCTCAGAAACCAGCAAGAGATACCTGTAATAAAAAATGACATCTTTTCATCAGCAATTCTGGAAATAAACAAACTTTAAAATATGACCTTATGGAGCCTGGTGAAAGACATCAGAAAATGTTTTCTGGAAGATTTCAGATCTGACTTGGGTTTTGGAAGGAAAACATAGTGATATGTGTTTACAAAGTAAAGGAGATAGAAAGCCTAAACACCTATCTACTTACCAAAAAAATCTCTAAAATGTAAACTCTGTTTATAAAATACATCCTGTAATAATCATAAAAAATTACTATTTAAGTTGTCTCTTCTTTATATTTTCTCCCCTCTTCTATCCCTTAACTAATACTTATCCCCGGCTATTATGTTCTTTACTCACAAACTATGTAAAAAGAAAACACAGGCCTTTAGCAAATATAATTTTCATGTTTTCTTAATTATAGATTTCCATGAAAATTAAAAGACAAAGAAAGGACCTGAAGCAAATAGAGTGTTTTACACACACATACACACACACACACACACACACACACACGTTAACATATTTTTAAGGCATATTGTCTTTTTTTTTCTTAGATCTACACTGATTTTTTTAAATACATCTGTGAATTTTGAAAGTGAGTAAAAGGATTTATTATAATGTTCATTACAATGTTTATAGCAACATAGATTTGGACAATTTTAAGTAGGACTTGTGATTTTTAAGCCATATTAACAGATATTCAACTCAAAAATTGGTCAACTAATAACTATATTTTTTAAAATATATGACTCAAGACCATACGCTAGTAGCTAATAACTAACTTAAATAGTCTCCTCACAGTGACTCGAAACATTTCAACTGATGCAAAGGAACAGTTAGACCTATTTAGCTCATGAAAGTCTTTGAGATGGTCGACAGGAACAAATATGAAATATCCTTTAAAGGACTTTTTAAAGTTTTAGTATTTGTAAGCTAGGAGGAAAGTAAAACTTAAAAATTTTAAGGGGATCCTTATTTGGTGAAGTAGCAATGAGTTCCAGCACTAACATATAATTGGTTTGAAATAGCAAATTTTAATACCACATCTGGAGAATAGAATAACATAAGCCACAACAGGTAGTAATTACTGAAGGTAATTGTAATGCAGCTTGAGTGGTAAACATTAATGAAAAAAAAAGATTTCTAAGCAAATAAAATCTCAAACATCAAAAAGACAAAAAGTTCGTGATAAATGGTTCATTTAGGCATGCAGTGCTGTGTGGGCAAAATTGGATTGCAATCATAGCCATTTCAAAAAACGAAAACATTAGGAGAAAAGAAAATTGGACAGAAATGGCATGGAAATTACAGCCTTTGATCCATTCTGAAGAACCTTTTTTTGAAGCATCCTCATGAGTAGGCAGCAAACTCCTTCCAATCTTCTGTTAAAACCTTTATGAAAGCCTGGAGACCATGAGATAGAAATAATCAATTTGGGACAGACAACGAGAGCATTTCTCAGCGATAATCTTTTTTTCCATAAAATTGCACAAAATTAATTCCACTGTTAAATTGCTGATTTTGAAATTGATACTTTTAATTTTAAGAGCAAGTCCTTCCTGAATCATCCTTGACCTTTCCAACTAAAGATAAGTTATTAGACACATGCTTCATGGTAACTAACAGCATAATTTAAGAAAAATCAAGAGTATTTAATGCTTCTGGTTGCACAAATAATTCTAGGAATAATAATGTATACCTTGGAACATAAGTGGGCACCATGGTATGGAAGCAGATCTTTGGCTAATATGATTGATGCACTATAGTTTCCAAAGACATGCAGAGCTAGATCTGTATTTGCAAAACTTAAATTAATTCCCACAGCTTTGAAACAATAAGGAGCCTAGACTTCTTCAATCACTATTAAATATATCTGTAATTTGATTCTAAACCATTAGTATTTTGAATTACACAGTTGGCTTTCTTCATTAAATACTGATAATTATTTATTTCATAATGTTTTCTGACCTATCTTTTAAAATCCATGTTTTAAAATTAATTTAAATAATTGTTTTAAATAAAAATAATCTTGTACATAAAGACTACTTTAGGATTTTATCTGACAGAATGATACATCCTGATGTTAAAGGAGAGTTATTAGCGAATAAGTACAAGAACATTTTTTACTTTTTAGCAAACAGCTGCTTTATTCTTCTGAGAGGATTGTTGAAGTATGATTTGCTATGCTTGAAGCAAAATTTAGATTTATTTTCTTATTTGCCTTGACTACATTCTGTTTTCATTAACATTTTCTATTTGACCTTTTGAATTATAGACCCTTTCTAACCTCAGAAGATGTTATTATGAAAGAAAAGTGTGTTCGTGTGTTTTATACCTTTGAAAGTAAATATTGGTTCGTGTGTTTTATACCTTTGAAAGTAAATATTGGTTTTATTGCTATTAGAAAATACTACTCAAAATACAGTGGTGTGAAATTTCAAATGAAATGGCTGAAGTATGGGTTTTTTTTTTTCCCTGCTATCAAAGATTTTTAATTCAACTATGGGTAGAGAAGCTCTCCTTGCTAACATTTGTTAACATGTATTTAATTTACTTAATAAAATGAACTACTTGTATGATACCCTTAAAGTTGGTATTTTTTTCTATATTATCTCTAACAATGTTAAGTAATATAAAATTATTTTCTAAATAGCCTTTCTCTTATATCCTTGTAACATATAATACATTTTTTTTAATCTGAAAGGGATAAATGTCCTTACTGTGACCCTTGAAAAATTCATAACAATGAAAAAGATTGACAAGTGGCAAATTTATAACTAGTATTGTAAGGGAGATGTTAACAGATGGCTTGCTGCCTCAGGGACTGCTAAATGGTGATAATCCCCCTAGCAAACTGAACTTTCTCTGTAGAATATTCCATACCCTAGATCCAGTGTGGTGGCACATGCCTGTAATCCCAGTTGCTCATGAGGCTGAGACAGAAGGATCGAGAGTTCAAAGCCAGCCTCAGCAACATCAAGATGCTAAGCAACTCAGTTTGACCCTGTCTCTAAATAAAATAGAAAATAGGGCTGGGGATGTTGCTCAGTAGTCAAGTGCCCCTGAGTTTAATACCTAGTACCAAATCATTATCATCATCATCATCATCATCATCATCATCATCATCCATACCCTGTATGGCACTTGCCTTTTTCTTACTTCATGATAGACCATAAACCCATGAGGGCCCATGTCATTTCTCCTGCTCACTAGAGTGCCTTATCAGTTCTCACACATAGTAGCTACTTTATACTTACTTGTTGACTATATAAATAAACAGAATGAAGGAATGATATGAAAGAATGTTCTGTTATTTCACCAATATTGGACCACTTATTTTAATTTTTATTTTTAATCAATGAATATTAATTACATATGTCTACGGGGAAACAGTGGGCTGTTATGATGTATTCTACTTTGTAAAATAATCAAATCAAGCTGTTTAACCTCTCTGTCATATGTTTTTGTGACCAGAGCATTTAAAAATATACATTTAGAAATTTTGAAGTATAAAATATGTTATAATCATAGTCATAATTGGATGAATGATTAAAGAAAATATGGTATATATACTCAATGGAATATTGTTCAGCCTTTTAAAAAGAAAGGGATTCTGCCATTTGTGAAAACACAGATGAACCTGGAAGACATTTTCCTACGTGAAATAAGCCAGGCACAGAAAAATAAATAACACATAGCATCATTTATATGTAGACTCTAAAAAAGCTAGGTGCTTATCAAAGACTGGCAGGGAGCAGGGAGGATGGGTTAAGAAGATGTGGGTAAAAGGGCACAAAGTTTCTTGTAGCCAGATGGAATAAATTTTTGAGAGCTGCATTTATAATTAATTGTAACATATTGGATATTTTATATCAGACCATTTTTTAATGAGAATTAAACTAAGTCATAAAGGAAAGTTCAGATGAACACTATGAGGGAGGGCACCAAAGTCAAGATTCAACACATGCACCATTATAGAGGTGACAAAGAGCACAACATAAGTATAATCAACTGCAAATAATTTGGCATGCCTAGAGATGACGAGAAGTTGTGAAACAGTAGTGATGCAGAACGTGTTAAGATCAAAACTGCATTTTGATCTCAACATTCTCCTCTACTTCAAGTAAGTAACCCATTTTTTGCTGAAGAGAATTGTTTTCTCAGAGAAGAAATGATGAATAGTCAGAAGAAAAGGGCACTTGATTTTCATGAGTAGCATGCAGTATTTGAGGTCATTTGAATTTGGAACTTCAGATTCATAATATCCCACCAAACCTAGAGAGTTGGGTTGGAGCTACTTCATCAAAAAGAAGTATATGGGCTGGGGTTGTGGCTCAGTGGTAGAGTGCTTGACCAGCATGTATGAGGCACTGGGTCCAATCTTCAGCACCACATATAAGTAAATAAAATAAAAGTATAAAAAATACACCAATATTATTTTTTTAAAAAAAAAAAAGAAGTATATAGCAAGCTAATAAATTTTAAATGGGTTCTTAAGAGAGCCACTAATGATTTCTCATCAGAAGAATTACAGGTTTGGGAAAACATTTTACAAACATCACCCTAATGGCAACAGAAGGTTGGATTAGACAGCTACAAGACAAAAAGGAGGTGACCAAGTATGGGTAAAAACTCGGTCAAGAGATGATGATCTAAACCTAAGGTTATGAGAACAGCAAGGAGTTAAGAGACACTGAAAATACAGAATCTTCCTCATAGGATATGTGTAGTGAAAGATAACTGGAATATCAGATGACTTCCAGCAGGGGACAGGAGAAAGGGAGGTATTATATTAACATTTGTACAAAAAGGGCATAGAAGGCAGTATTGCTGAGAGAAGGGGGAACATAATATGGAGGAGAGAAAAATTGGGGGCTTATTAGAAAAGTTAAGTTGAATGTTGAGACATGTTAAAAAGAGAGAGAGGGAGAGAGAGACAGACAGACAGACAGACATAGTCCAGAAATTAATAGAGTAAAAGGACTGAGAAAGGAACTTTGAGCTTGATAAAACAGTAGCTTCGTGGAAGACTAAGATTGAGCACGAATAAAAGCAATAGAGAATATCATCACAGGAGAAATTTTCTGGAAGGAGAGAGAGGTCAACTGTGTCATAAAACTAGAAAAATAAATCCCCGCAAAATTGCGCAATAAGATCTTACAAACCCAGAGGAAAAGAGTTTTGTAATACAGGAAGAGGAAGGGAAAGGTGGATGTCCGAGTCAGGAAGGGAGCTCTGGGTAAGGATGTAAAAATGGTAGAATTTGACCAGGAGAGAGAGAGATGCAGGACTCTGAAAGGGTTTTATTTAGAGTCTAAAAAGTTGGCTGAAGAGAAGTATAAAACATAGACAGATTAATCTCTTCTGTCGGCATGGAAGGGAAGGAAGTTAGAATTCTTATGGAATCAAAATCATTCTCTACACTATAGAGAAGTTAAAAACAAATTTAAAGTACAAAATATCAAGGAAATTATTGCCTGTTTCTATTTTTTGAGAAAAAATATATGAAAGAAGAATTGTCTATTGTATGAGATTATATGAGGAACAGATAATTCCTCACGTAATATTCCACCTAAATATTTAGCTACTGTATCTATTTTGTGAAGAATTATATGGAGGAATCTTTTACATGAAAGGAATTATCTGCTGAGAGGACACAATTTGGAAAACTGGAGACTTAGAAGTGAGCATAGTAAATAATTCTAGCCCAGGAACTGATTATTAACAAAGTTACTTAATTTCACAGATTTCTAGTTTTTTCTATCTGGAAAATAAAGACCTTAAACTACATAGTATTCTATTCCCTGTTATCAACAGATTGCCAATCATCCCAAATCCAACGGATTTGAAATTTGACAATGAATCTATATACCTCTAGCTATCTTTTGTCAAAATTATGGTTTAGAAGCAGATCCATTGAACATACTAGAAAAATCTGTTCTGTATCACTGTGTAAAAGAAAAATGGAGCTACAATTTTAATGGTTTATGGGCTACCCTAATACAATCTATGTAATAGAATGACTATGATTAAAAACTCAATTGATGAGTAATACAGACACATTAATTATGAGTACAAAAAATAAACATAAGCAAAGGAGAGATAATGCATTTTATATGCAAATGATCCTGCCATAGGAGAAGGTTGAATCAAACTCTGTAGCAGTGGTAATCCTTCTTTTACTGTAGTGCTGTTATTTTCAAATACTTTTACTTCCTCAAATGGAAGTAAAACATGACAATCTCTCTGGCATGAAAAAATCATGCAGTTGTCATCATAATTTCTTGGTAAACATGAAAGTTCAGAAGTCAAATCATTATGGTAGTACTATTTTTCTTTCTGTGGTCTGTCTGCCCACGTATGCAATTAGACTTTTGAAGTTTAGAAGTAAAGTCCTATTGAAC